TTTGAATATTGACCATTATCGGATCGCATTTCATTATTTGACATCTTAGATAATATCATTGTCTCTTTCTCTCTCTCAATAGCGCGAGCAATATCACTTGATTTCCAATAATAATCTTGCGACTCTTGCAAACGGAATAGGGAATGAGAATTTTCCCAGTTATGGAAAAATTCTCATTTCCTGTCGGTCTATTTCCAGAACTGCTTCCTGATCGTGACCTTTTGTATCCGATTACGATTGAATTAGTACACGCGCGTGTCGATGTTTCATTCACGAACTGTTCCGCTTTGCGGGTCGCAAAGTATGATGCTTTTGTCATCGTACTGTGAAAGTGCAAACGACAGTCAATCGGTTTTCGATGAAATACAATTTGTTAACTTGATACGAATTACGCTGGCACACCTGAAGAGAAATCACGCTGACGCTTGCATGCGCATCTTCACGAGCGTTGGACCGTTACTCGTATCGATTGCACACGCCTACTATCTGTTATTAAATGGATCGAGATGATACGTCAAAACAAATTGATTCATTTGTCGTGAATAACCCAGCAGAAAAGGAAAAAATAATATGTCACAACCGATATCGACGTTTTAAATTTTTTTTCTATAAAAAAAAATATAAATGTATATATAGAAATATATTACCTAAATATAAGTTATATTTATGACCGAACAATTAAAAATTGAAACTTTATTATTAGATCTCAAACAAATGATTTAAGAAGCGTTTTATATTAATACAGATTCAATGAAATTTAAAATTTAGAAAATTTTGTGTAAATTGTAAAAATAAAAAATATCACGCTCTCTTCTTCTTTATCATGAATTCGTGTAGTATAAAAACTATTCATTTTTCTCATTACGTCATCTTCAGATAATATACTGAAAATATATTTCCGAATATCAAAGAGAGAATATTTTGAATAATTATGGCTATAATTAATCATCTGCGGAATCTAACAATAAAGTCACAAATCCAAAAACCTCTTTTAGACCGTTGTAATTGTTTAACTGAGAAGCACGTACCTTTTCAGCTGCCACATACGAGTGCTTGGAATACAAATGTTGCCTGGAACCACTTATAAAGAGTACTAATATCCAACGAGGTCAAAAGCCTCAGCATTCATATCCTCTCTCTCTTTGGATTAGGTAGTTACTCTTTCATAAACAAACTACAGCTACTACGTAACGCGAATGCAGCTTGCAAATACATGTAGAGCTTAATGGAATTCTTTATCTTTCCTCCTTTACATAAACTCTTGTAATAAGTGCTTCGTACGCTTTCGATATTATAATCTTCTTTGAGAGAGAATACGTGTATTTTTCGACATATATTGTTAATATAAAGACGTTTAAATTTTTATATCAAGAAATAAAACACATAACATTAATAAACTATTTCCATATTTATAAAATAAGAGATTGGTTTATATAATGTTTATAAAATGAAAGGTTTCTCTTATGATTATGATTGCGAGTTTCCTCTAGTACATTGCAATGCTTTAATTTATATAATTTTATTTTAAACACTACTAAAAATAGAATTTTTGAAGGAATAATATAAAAATTCAAAAATTCGATAGAAAAATCGACTTATTTCAATGACGAACTTTACGTACAAAATTCAAACCTTATTCAAATTTGTTCAGTTCCCATGCATGGGTTAACTGCTGAAGTTCACATAGTTTTGCAAAAAGAAATTAAATATAAAACAATTTCTGAATATATTTTTTGAATTCTATACGTACTTATGTCAATTTATGCAACTCAAAGTACATAAAAAGTATAAAATAACTTTTAATATTCTCAGAGATACTTTGAACTTTAGGACCTTCATATTTTTATTATATTATATTTGTGCTGACATAGCGGACGCGGTAGCATTGCTCTGCAGCTGAATTTTTTATTAAATATTTCATCTAAAACAAGTTTTTTTCTAAAGACAAATAAAAGTGGATTATCAGTTAAAAAACGTATATTTGCTCTATGTCATATTTTATATGTGTATATATATATATATATATATACACTATATATATATATATATATATATATAGGGTGAATCAGAATCGTTGAACCAGCTTTTACCCTATGATAAAATAATTGACTGCACACGTTATAATTCAATTAAGTATAAAATCAATAATTTTCTTATAAGGTAAAAAGTTTATCCAACGATCTGATTCACCCTGTATATATGAATTACAATAAAAATTTTAAACTTTATCACAATATGCAAAGAGTTCTCTAAAATCAAACAAAATTTTGTTTCCACAAAATTCATTTAAAAATATCAATATAATATTAAAGCACTATTTTATTCTATAATTATGATGAAATGTATAAGAGTATTATAAAAACAACATTAAAGATAATATTTTAATAAACGGATACCTTAACGGAATTTCCGACATGGTCATTATATGGCTACTATGAATATCGGCAGTAATTAGCGACCAATCTAACTCTAATATCGATGAAATGACCGTCGTCGGTGTGCGCAAACACATCGTAACATTCCATTCGCAAAACATACTCTGCCGGAACTGATCCTTGTGCAAAACAACCGGGATAAACGGCCAGATCATACAAGCTTGCCTATTCCAGTCCTCCGCATACTACAAATTAATCTGTGATCTGTGTCTTAGCTCCAGATCAAATACAAATTCGCAAGCTTACCTAGTTCCGTCACTAACAATCGATAACTAAGTAGACGCTCGCGGCATCCGTCGAAATCTACTATTTGCCTCGATAACGTCAACAATAACGTTCAATATAATGGACATTCGACGCATTGTCTGATATGCATTTCTCGTGATTCTGACAATAAGATAAACTTGTGAAATCGTTTCAATAATAACAAAGACTAGTTACACGGAATGCAAGATTATGAGAATAGTTACAGTTAGATTAGTTAAATTTGTATAAAAAAATTTTGGCATTTTAGTGATATTTAAATTTGTTATATATATATATACATATATTTAGACTCCTAAATATATATATTAATATATTGATATATGTTCTTAAATATATACATTTACTAACACATAAATATTTAAATGTATATTTAATATTACTCATTAATATCCTAAATAAATATTAGAATGCTTGCTTGAAATACTTGAAAATAATGTCTGATTTACATTTTATGCAATAATATAAGTACTGTGAAAAGAGTGCATTATTTTTGTAAAATACGATAAGACTCGTAAAGAATCCCGCTAAACTAATCTTATGTAAAATAGATCTCAGTCAAATTGGCTGAAATTTTGCTATAATGGAGGTCGTAATGTTTTGATCAAAAGTTCTTATATAGGCACAAAGTCCAAAAATGGACAGTTTTCGAGATATTGTATGTCAAATATTGGAAATATGGCTAAATTCTAACATTTAATTTTCAATATCTCAAAAACTATCCATTTTTGGACTTTATGCTCATAAAGACTTTTGATCAGGATATCATGATCTACATTATAGTAAAATTTTAGGCAATTTGACTGGAACCCATAAGATTAGTGCGGTGTCCTTTAGTAATTTCGATTTAAACTTGTAAAAGAGAAATATAATTTATATTTGTTTAAATATATATTATTGATCGAAATTTATAAGTTTATCTTATATATTGTACATAAAAAAGGCCTCACAATATTTGTTGTAATCTAGAATTAAGATGTAGTTAAAGATTACAGTCATCTATACTGCTACAGTTCATAGAAATAAAACATTATATATATTCCACATAAATGCAAGTTAAATAGGGCAACCACATTTATTATTAAATTGCGTAAGAAAAATATAGAGGAGACTGAGATTAATATATCATTTTTCAGTTTCGAATTTTTACAAATAAAATTGAGACGTATCGAAAAAATGAATTCTACACCATTACTACATACATTTGACTATCCAATAATATATTAATAATAAGGGGAAACTGATAACTAATATGAAAAAAAATGCATTTTTCTATTGCATTCCATCTGATTCAACTAGCTCCGGGACCGGGATAATTCGACTAAGATTATTAAAATAAAGATTAATGTATTTTAAGCTATTTACATCCTTGGCTACAAATTAATAAAACTTTTATAAAAATATATTTTAAAAACATTCACAAACATTCGCTTCGCAGGGCAAAACAATACTTCTTTTTACAAAATTTGATCAATTCGTGCGAAAACACGAATGAGCCTAGTTTTCGAGGTTGGACATGAGGGAACTAAACTTATATCATTTACCACTGAGGAAAATCTCTTTAAAGGAATAAAATTTTGAGTAAGTACTATAAGAGTCACTAAATGAGTCATACAGTTTCATGCTGTAATTAGTCTACTATCCTCATCCATTAATTTTTTTAAAAACATTAACAATATACGATAACAAAGACACATAAATAAAAAAAAGCTGTTGGATTTTTATTAAGTAAGAACTACATTTACTATCTAAGTAGAAATTAAATATCTCAGACAATCATATACGATTGTAAAACAAAAATTTTAAGAATAAAAATATTTACTTAGGTGTACGATTTTTTAAAATTGTGGCATAACTTCATAAATGTATTTGCAACAAGATATTGCAGCAGACAGTCGCTGCTGCGTGCTTAGACACGTTTACGCGTGTCTCGCATGTTTTATTTTTAATGATTATTCTACTTACCCCTACAGTCAACTGACCCCGGTCTCCCCTATATTTATCTTTAATTTTATAAACTGACTCACCAAATTACATTCCCCTTTTGCAAATAGCTTCCGACCTAAAACCAGAAATAATCCTTATTAATCCTTATTCCTTCAAAGATCCGACTGATTCAAAATCTTAGAAATATAATATTAATATACGAGAAAGGAAAAGTTACTCAATTATTTTCGTTTAATCACAATTCCAAGCCGGTGCTTTAAACTTTATTCAACTTAAAGCCGCTTAACAACTTTTATGATTCAGTTGTGGACATGCTAATTTCTGACGCTGACATTTGCTTTATATGTCACGCAGGTACGTTCACTCGCGATCAGAGAGTTTTGAGCGGTAGTCTTGTTCAGGGGAGTCGCAACGTCAGCGGCGTGCCGGCTTTCGAAACAAATGTGCCACGGAATGTCACTACCGCAGTCGGTCAGACCGCCTTTCTTCACTGCAGAGTTGATCAGCTGGGCGACAAAGAGGTGAGTGACAACAGTAATTTTAGTATTTTACGACCCTCCCCCTTCTTGAAACTAACTCGCTAATTACGTTAACAAATCCGCGTCCAACAGCATTATGAAAAAGATTTGCTCGCGCGCGCGACATTGTTTTCAAACATTGTTTTCAGCTTATAATTCAAATGGAATATAAACGAAAACCTAAATGCGCGTTCGCATAATATCGAATCTGCTTGCTAAACTTTGTTTACAATATGTGAGGTAGATATATATATATAAATATATAATTAATATTTAAAATTATTCTTGTTACTCGACATGATTTGTGGTGAATGTACAAATTGCTACAAATAAATTGCTGTGACGTGAAAGGAACCGAGCAGCATTATTAATTATTTAGTGTCAGAACAGTAGATGACAAACCCAGTATTATTTTATTATTATAAATAAATTAAGATTTCATTAATTTTCATGTAAAAAGATATTATCCTATTATTTTAAGCGTTAAATTGACATATTTTTTAAGTTCACTAGCGGTACATTATACGTTTACCGGGATACAAAATTAGAAAACTTATTTGATCTCGAGGATTTATAACTTTTTTATTGTGATTTTTAAATAGAGCCTAGATATAGGCACAGGGGGGGGGGGGAAAGGGGGAAAGAATTTTGCAATATTTCCGTCGTGTCAAAGTTAGAACGGAGGCCGCTGTTGCGGTTACGGTTGCTTCATCGTTTTTCAAAATCCTCAATCCCGGGCATACCTCCATGTCAAGGCTATATAGATCCTAGTAGAGCTGCTGGGTTAACATCACCGCAAGGCTGGCCTGCGGTTTCTGGTTAGGTCGTTGATAGAATATGCATGACGCCTGTTTGAAGAGTTAAATCTGCTCAAAGGTGGATGGAGGGCGGCTATTATCTTTTCGGATTTTTGACTGAGACTGCGGATTTGACTGACACTTAATTAAAATTGAAAAATTTGTCGTGCTTTATCGTATATTATCTTCGTCCTCGCGCTCATGGTCTATTATCTGAGCATTACGTTCAATTACTCGCCCGCATACAACAATTGTTGAACTTACAAACTTTTAATAAAAGAAGTATGTGATTTGTTCAAAAATAGCAAATTAATAGAATACGGTATATAGCGTATATAATACAAATTATAACGTAATTCCCTTGTGTACCTTATTAAGGCTTAATATTTAATCAAGACATTCAATCTTCTAGTTACCTAGAACAGGAGTTTCCGCAGCATGCAAAGATTTGATATTTCGCGAAGTTTCCGCCAATGCCTGGTTCGCAAGGAATATATACGTACTTCCGGGAATATATCGACATTATCTGCATAACAGGAGTCAATATTGCGTAATTCAATAAATACCAATGGTGGCTTTGCGCGCCAAGGTTTCTTCAAGTTTCGGATAATATTGTTCGGATAATTTTATCGCATTATATACTACGACCTTAAAATATTCAAACGCAGAAACTCTAATCAGCTGATCATAATAATTCATTACAATAGCGGCAATTAATCGTATAATTACTATTGTACCTTTTCATAAAACTTTGCTTCGATTTGCGGACACTTTTATAGCTGAACTGCGAAATGCACTTATTAATTGTGGGAACGAACAACTGGTTTGATTATTCGTTAACGATGCAATTATTTACCGCCATTTACTCAATAACGTGAATTCTAGTTATTTCCCGAAGAAGAGGAGGAAACGAGGGATATTCGATCACGCATCACCGATAACTTGCAAAACGCCATGACCGTGTTTTCATTCCAATAATTACCAACTAACTACGACGGCGCATTGATAAGCTTTGCGTGAGTTATGCACAGAATTGCACCGAAGTTGTTAAAATGTAATATAATTTTCCATTTAAGTCGCTGCTCAATATAAATCGTTGTGAAAGTATATTAAGGATTCCTCTTGAACTAATGATGCTTCAGCGAAAGAAGCATCCTTTTCTAAACAAAAGAACACTATGAGAGATAAAGAAATGACATTATATTACATTTCGCTGTACTGATGCACTGAGAAGTATTATGCGCCGGAATAGTAGCTGCTGCTTTTTCAAGAGAGAGACTGCTACTCTACGAGCACAAAGCATCAGACAACTAACTTGCTGCTCGCGCGAGCTTTTCGTTTTATGACCAGATACACAGCGTTCTTATTAGAGAGGAGCAATCGCATACGGATTACGTATCTAACGAAGACCAACTACGAAAATTCACGCAAATTCCTCGACGGTGTGTTTAATCAAGCTGATATTAAAGGAAAGCAAAAAAGGACTTTGTTGTTGCATAATGCAGAAAAACATTCAAATATTTCCATAAGGCTACTAATTAGATTGTAGTAAATACTATGTAAAAATTGCAATTTAGTTCTTGCAACTAAACTAATCTAGATCTTTTATCACGTCATCTTGATGCATACGAACTCATTTCCGAGTAATTAACTTAATGCTGTAATTAACTGTGAATTACCAGAAAATTTACAATAATACCATGTTTTTATAATACTCGTATAATATAATAAAAAAAAATTGATTGAAAATAAAATAAAAAATGAAGATTAAAATTTTTCGTCTAATATATAATTAATAAAAAAAGAAAATTTTTTATTATATTTAATACTGAACGTATAATCGAGTAACTCTCATAAAAATTATGCAAAATTGCAATTTTATTATTCCTTTTCCTAAATAGATTTCTATTTCCAAAATTGATTTTATAAATGCTTACGAAGCTTCTCCGTGGAGAAAGCTGAGCAACAAAATGTAAAGATACAACGTCGCAATTCATTGAGAAAGTCAGCGATTTGACTTACAGAAAGTAGACAGCGTGTATGGAGTTATCGCAAGGCAAATGTTTGAACAAAGCTAACTGAGACATTTATGTCGCGTCGGTCTTTTTGCCGACTTAGCAAAACTGTTTACAACATATCCAAGGCTGGAAATTTGCGTAGTTTCCCTTTTTTAACATTAATGTGTTGTTTATATAATGTACGCTTATAACGCGAATACTTACAATATTTATTAAACGTGCTGTCGGATATTTTGCGAACCAATTATATATTTGAAAATTAACATATTATAATAATGTTATTTAAACACAAATATCATTACAATCTCAAGATTAAATATGTGTGTATGTTTAAAAATATTTTCTATCACATTACGTCTTACGATATCAAAATTAAATATTTAAGAAAAATTTTGAAGAAAAAACTTTAAGAACTAAAGTTTAGTTAAACAAGTTATGTTAAAGCGTAAACATTTGCAACATGCAGCAATTATTTTATAATAAATAATTTTATAACTCTTTAAAATTTTTTTACTTTTGTAAATTTTATTCATTTTTTGTAACTATAATAAATATAATTCTAATTTAGTTGCGCGCGCATCGATAGTGAGATAAAACAGGAAGGGAAGAGCACCACAATGTTTCCGGTGTTGATCGATCTCATCTGATTCTACTGATGTCATCAACGCATTTCGAAAGTTTGCAAGTGGTATTTACGTTAATACATTGCGTCAGTATTTCAATAACAACTCGAAATCGAAATATTAATTATATTTGCATACGCACCCAAAGCTACTTGATACCACCATATGCGGATTATACAAGGTGTCCATTCGTAAAATGGAAACGCAACATTTGCATTACTATTATAATATTCCATATGTGGAATTATATTACATGTCAATTAACTCAAAACAATAAAGAAAAGTCTCAAAAGGAACAGTCAACACGTTTTTTATTTACAATGTTCTTTATCATTATTTATACTTTGCGATATATACAAAAAAGTAAATGTATATTTATGTAAAATTCAATTTCACTAATCTTCTAAAAATTATTGATCAAATATTTATTTACTAACAACTTTTCTTATCTTGAATAAACAGGATTAAGAAGAACGTAATAATTGTATCAAACTAACAAATCCTATTTACTCTACAATCTGCTGTAAAAATATTTTCCGATACACTGAGAAACCCATTTAGTTGAATCAATTAATTTCTTATTTGGATATGAATAAATAAATCCTTGGTTGATGCAATAAAATAATTTAGTTGAAGCAAAACGTTTGTTTATAGCATTTTACTTGTTTCTGATAAATAAATTTATCAAACCTCAATGTAGAAACAAGTAAAATGTTATAATAAACAAATGCTTTGTGCTTCTAAATCATTTTATTGTATCAATCAAGGATTTGTTTGTCCATATTCAAAGAAATTAATTGATTCAATTAAATTGATTTTTCAGTGATAGTGACAGCCGGTTCGTATAAATCATACTCATTCGAAAAGTGTTTTAATTTAATAATTTTTATCTTAATACTCTTCTTGCCAAGGATCTCTAAAAGTCTTTGGAATTTATATTACCTATATAATCCAGTCGTGTAAACGACCCTTTCACCCAAATCGATTTACTCGAGAGAAGATGAATTCGAATGACTGCCGGATTCCGCTTCGAAATTCCGTAGGATGAAGTTATTCAAGCAAGACGTTACTGTATCCAGAACGACGGAAAAAAGCAGCTCAGTAATTCGATCGGGGAAAAGCCTGCGGCTCTACTCCCAGCTTGAATAAGTATCGCGCCAGGGAGCGGAAGTGTCGTTCATCCCCCGTTTTCTAGCCTGGATTCTGCCGAAGATTTACGTGCGACCTTGCGAACAAGGACTGGATTCCGATCAGCGCTGTTATGCTGCCTTGTTTGAATAAAAAAAGCAGGACAGCCGCATCCCCTGGATTCCATCAAAATCAGGAAATCTCTAAAGACCCAATACGGAGCTTTATCTCCTTTTTCGTTCTTGTCCTCCAAACGAGGATCTAATATGTTTTTGATAGTCCATCAAGCGCGCCCCGCTCGAAAATTTCGTTACTTTGGGTCGCGCGATGGATCTAGTCATTTTACGGCTTCGTTAGCAAGCTTGATATACGTAAAATGTCGAAAGTATGATAACATTTTTTGTTAGTACTAGTGAAATAATAACGGTAAACCTTCT